TGGGGGGGGTGGGGGTGGGGGTGGGGGTCTGGGGGGTCATTAATGTTGATAGTAGCTGTGCTAGATGCTAGGAGGTCGCAGTGGGGTGAATTTGTACGTGGATGGCAGCCAACAGCCACATGTTAAATGGCGAAGAATGTTGAAGAATTGCATCGATATTTTTCAGACCTCAGAAAGGGGTTGACCTTCACAGAAAATTCTGCTGAATTGGGGGGTTGAGTTGGGGGTTAAGAGGGGTTGTAAGATAGTTTGGGACCGTGCCGGTTACTCTGCTGCTGGCTCTGCCATCAAGGTGAGCATTCTTTTGGGTGTCTGGTAGATAGCTCTGTGTGTGGTACCCAGTGAAAAAAAAAAAAAAAACATGGGTATCGTACCTGGATAATTGGCTACTGCTCGCTTGGTTTTTAACTTTTTTTTTTTTTTTTTAACACGAGGTTTTCTGCTTGTTCTCTGCTGCTAGGGCTGTCTGCTGCTGGGACTTTCTGCTGTTGGGGGTTCCTGCTGCTGACAATTTTCTCGTCCTGAAGGATGCGCTGCACTACTGACCAGATGTGAAACATGGCCAGTTCAAGTAGAGGGTGGGTGACAAGATACTCTGCACTGTGTCAGTAGATGTGAAGACGGCGAGTGCATCTTCACATAGGTGGGTGACTGGATGCGGTGGTATCGTCAGTGTGAACAGTACTGGGTCGACTGTATTTGGCACCACTGCTCTCCTCATGGGGGGTGCATCTTCATGTAGGTGGTACCACTATGCATTCATCAGTATGGACCCCTATTCAGAGTCGTCAGCCTCTATTCGTGGAGGTAAAACTCACCAGCGTTTATGTGAAGACAAAAACTTCTCCTTTCCACATCTAGTGACAACAGTGACAAGTGCCACGCATCTATCGTAAAGAGTGGAAACAAAAGGACGAGTTGGACACTCAATGTCTCCACTGTTTTCTGTTTCCACTGTTTTTCGTTTCCATTGGAATACATAGTGGAAACAAAAAAGAGTGGAAACAGAAAAGGATATTGGAGTAAAAACAAAAAAGAGTGGAAACAGAAAAGGTCACCAAACATGGAAAGGTGGCACTTATTCACAACTCTATCGAACGATGTCAGGCTTTTTACGACTTTTCTTCCTTTCTGGCATGTATATGGATGGATTTCGTATTCCAATCCGGTGGATGGTTCACCCGAGCATATGGCTGCCCGGCGACGGCTGTCTGGTGCATAGAAATGTTGAAGGTCCAAATGCTTCGACACAATCGACCTGCCACCTTCTATCTGAAGATGCGCTCAGCATTTTCCACGTGTGGTGAGTAGTGGGGTAAGGTACCGAGTTTTTGCCGACATGACTTCAGTTGTGCTTTTCTGGTGTTGTTCGGCTGCTTGGACTCCTTTTTGTTTTTTTGCCAAACACAGAACCTCCTTTATATTCTGGGGTGTTCCAGTTTGGTTGCTTATCCTCGGCAAGAATTGTCTGCTTGTTGTTTCTGCTGCTCTCGTTTGCCGCCTGGTTTTTGTTGTAGCTGAACTTTTCTTTGACTGACTAGTCTGCTGCTTGGTTACTTGGAGATGATGTTTGCTGACCGGTTTTTGATGTGAGGGTTTGGCCGGTGTTTTTTTTTTTTTTTTTTTTTTTTCCGTGCTTTTTTGTTGGCTTGGCATTTCATAGCGCTCTGCGCATGGCCCTATGGCGATACCAGATTGACATCATCGGGAGCGAGGTGCCTACATGCACAAAAGACAAATTTTGGCGCTGTATATTCCCATGATCTTACGGAAGATTCCTTCTAAATTTTGCACGTTTGGTGGGTAGTGGGGTGTGGCTCATGCAATAAATAAATGCTTATGAAGTGACATGAACACGAAACATATGGTGTCCATATCTTTTCATGCGGATTTGTTGCATGTGGTGGCCTCGCTCTACTAAATGCGCAAAACCTAGCATAAATCTTTCGCTAGAATATGGGAAGAAACACTGCCATGTTTTGTCTTTTCTGCATGTAGGGAATGGGAGGATGTTATACTCACACAGCGTAGAGGGAGAGAGAGGGGGGGGGGGGTTGGAGGGGTAAGATTCAAGGGTCATTTGGGCGGGTATTCCTGTCAAGCCTGTGTCCAGCAGGATGGCATATGCCTTACTGAGGCTGAAGCTGAAGGTCAGATGTAGTTAAATTTAGAAAATGGTATGGTGTGTTCCCTGACCTCGCTGAGTGGTGCAGCGAGGCCCAAGGTCCCCCATACATGGAAGAGAACTTGGCCCAAGATAGCGGATATCAATGACCCTTATCTCTTCATCCATGCAAGGGAAATGTTAAACTTAGGACGATGTGGAGAAGATTAGCATTGCCCTGGTGCAATTAAGATGATGACATGCGTACATCAAGGACTGGTCCAAGTTAAAAAAAAAAAAAAAGA